CCATCACGTAAAAGGTGAATGAAATGTTCAAAGGAAGTCGGTGATTTTGCATTGACCATACCTGACCTCACGAATCTTAGCATGACCCTTGGCACCCATAATGCCCAGCACCCCTGCTCTGAGATACAGAACAAGGGAAGAATACTTGAATTTCTTGTACACATATAAAAATGATACATCTACTCTGTAAATATAACCATATTCACAATGATTGACAACCAAAAGAAACCAAGATGCTATGGCTATCTATTCCACCTTCTACATTTTCTCTTGTTCTGATCATGTTGAACATTTCACATATATTCTTCATCCCAAATATGTTGGTGGTAATTTATGAATTTATTGAAAATACTCTATGGTCATTAACACCGTATTCAAAACACTGGCATAGGATAGGGTTGCGGACGATTTTTTATTCATATGGCGATGTTTGAAGATACCCATTCAAAGGTCATACAGCACTATGGTAAGGTATTGTGGTGAAAAAGGTAAAAATGAGTTAACAATTAGGACAAAATGTATTAAATGGCAAAGGTTGTTGAGCACTGTAGGGTAGTATGGTAGTGAATAGGTTAAAGAGGGTAGAGCACAGAGTACGACTGCCATTCAGAACTGACACAAAGCCACTCTCATCCTTTCTGCACAGTTCTCACACTATAGGAAGTGGACAGAAGAAAAGGATGAAGAAAAGAAGGAAAAGGAAAGGGGGAGAAGAAAAGCCCATACAAAATTTGTTGAGATGAGGGCTGATGTCCAAGGTATGGGTAATCCTCTACCTTGGGCCTCATCCTCTGTCTCTTAAGCCCCTCCCCACAACAATAAAATACAAGGGATTGGGGGGAGTGTTGGTGATAAGATTCAATGTACTCATATTGTAATCATATAAACATGTATCTATCATAATAGATAAAATGTCCTTCTGTGTAATTAGATATATATGTACATTATAAAAAATTAAAGTAAAATGTCTTTGAACAGTACATTATGCTACCTTAGTAAACTGTACATAGAATAGGAAAGTCATTTTTGGTTTTTGACAATAAGCAATATTCAAATAGCATTAAAAACATTAGAAACAATGTTTTCACAAAAACCTGTAATCATTTGTAACATGAATGTAAAATGTTTTTTTTTTTACTTCTTGTTCTGTTTTCTTGCTTCTGTCAAGTTATTTTAATCCACTTTGTTCTAAAATAACTGGGTGAAATATAAAATGTTTCTTTTTTCATCTTTATTTACAAAAAATCATTATTAACAAATTATATACATGGTGATGCTTTTGTTGAAATAATGTTGAAATGACAAAATTGTTTAATGCGAGTTTCTATCAAAATGATCCACTGTGCACAGTATTCCTGGCTATTCTATTAACAGATTGCATATCCAATAGCTAACAATTCAATGTTTTTTTCCTACACATAATGTGAAACTCATCAATCAAATATTACTCTTTCTTATGTACTCTTTCCCTTTAAATCAATCTGCTCTACCATATTAAAGACAATGCTTTTGTTGAAATATGTCTATATAACAATATTCACTATTACATCCAGCATTAAATTAGAAAAAAAGAGTCTAGCTATATTATCTTGAGACTTGACATACTCTGTATCTTTCAGAATGCAGTCATAGAAAACTTTCTAATATATACTGAATTCCACTTTTTCTATGGTAATTAAATAAACAATCTAAAGGTACCCAAAGACACACAAAGTATCAATAGATCTGGGCAGAACTTCAATAAGTCCAATCCATCTCATAACCCCAACCAAGATGGTGCTCCCTGCCGATGCTTGTGTCTGTTATTGTTGCTCTCCCATTCCTTTCTCAAAGTATCAATCTGTTCCATCTGCTTGTCCTCCTCGTCCTTCTTGTCCTCTGGGAACAAGTTGGGGAACTCAAAGGTTTCTGTTGCAGGCTGTAAAACACCAAGGAAAAAGAGAGAAATTCAATATGAATTGGACTGAGATATATAAGGCTTTTAACACACTACATTATGAATAAAGTCTTCCATACTCCTCTGATCTGAAATAAAAGAAAACAGCAAATCCTATTCCATCAGATAAGTTTGAAGTTATACAAAAAAATATAAGGCCTAGTAATGATATACATTTAACAACAACTAATCAGTTATATCCAAGCTAATTCTCCTCAAATCATTAACTCTTTATTTCCTTATTTATGCATGTGAGGTATCAAATTCTTCATTGGAACAAAAAGAAAAGGTAATAAGCTAATTATCTGTGCTTCTTTTACACTATGAGTATGATGGTATTAACCAGATAATTGCCTAAAAATGGTAAGAAAAAAATCTAAATGAATATTACACTGTAGAAATTTGGTCTGCATAGCATTAATCAAATTAACATTCATTTAAGCCATTTGAAGTACATACAAACTGTCTGACATCAAAACAATATAAAAAATCACAATAATAATCATCACCATACCTAGTATCAGCACATAAAATGCTGATGTATTCATCAGGAAATATGATCTATCTGACTTTTTGCATCAAGGAAAAAGTGAATTAAACTACAACTAAAACTTCTTTCATACTAAAACAAACAACTGCTGATTTAACTGGAACTTACCAAACTGACATAAGCTACTTTGAAGTCATCATCTTTGATCAGGTATCCTCCTAATTTACTTCTCTTAACTTGACCTGGGAAAAGACATATTTAGAATCAGCAACTGTGATAATTTCAAGTTAAAAATACATGTCTTTAAATTTCATCTAACACGCACTAAATCAACTCATTCTCTCTGTGTGAAATCCTATCACATCATGACAAGGAGATGTCTAGTCAGGTCATGAGTCCGAGTCCCAACGGCTCTGGTGATCCCTTAGGCACCGAGCCATGAGATGGATAACAACCCAGTCTCACTAAACTAATAAAAATTTTGAATGGACATATAAAATGCTTATGAAAATATTACGATATCTTTCCGGGGAAAGACAGAAAGGCATAATACTTAGAAACAGCAACCCTGATGAGTTCAAGTCAATGTAGTAGTGGCCTGTAACTTATAATTTACATAACTGAAAGTAATATCAAACTGTTAAGTACAAATCACTCTACCTTTCTACATATCAAACAAATGCCTCTCTTGGGTTGATAAAAACACCGAGGGACATGACGTACAATGAGTTTTGAATCAACCCATTGCTGTAAGGAACATACAATGTCCATTGAAATTTTGTTTTATGAAATGGTATACAAAAGTGCTCAGCCACCATGGAGTCAATTAGTAGGCCTAGATAACCTTATATCATTTCCCATTTCCTTGAATTTTGGGGCAAAATGTTCCTTTCTAATGATATTAATATCAATGCTGTTTTTATCATCACCACCAATGACATTATGATTTCTATAACTTTACTGACAAAATTAAAAAAGGATATCTCTGAAAATCAAGGAAAAGGGTAAACAGGTAAGACAGGTAGAACTAGTAATTGGCTTATTGGTGACTAAACACTTGTAGAGCCATCTATATCTACACAAGAAAAATACATATGTGAACAAGAATGAAAGTGAGACAGCAAAAGCAAAACTTATATTAAATTCATTCTAATTTACTAAATACGGTAATTTATTTGAATATGAACAAGAATAATGGAATAGTCTACACATTTTATACGAAGAGCAACTAAAGAGATATCAATCATTTTTGATAAGACTAGTATTGTGATTAGTATTACTGTATGTACCACAAAAATTTGCACGTAATTTCATACACTAAATGTTTTAATGAAGTTTTACATTTATTTCACAGAAAATGTATGGTATATTTCCTGATTAAGTTGAGTATTCTAATGTTTCCTGTCTCACCCAAAATGTAAATATAACTTTTCATATTTCCATAAAAAATGAAAACTTGCGGGTGATTCAAAAGAAACATCCTTCTGATCTACCTGAAAAACTAGAATGCAAGTACTATATTTTTAAGAAATTGTGAAACGAACAATATGACACATATCCATTAGTTATGGAGTAAAATTTCAGATGAAATGTAAAAAATTATACACATGACTGAAAAGTGGTTTAAAAAATCAATATTCATATCACATCCACATAGATACAGAATATGAATCATTCAATCTGAAAAACTGCAGTCCTAAAAAAAAAAAAAGAAAAAAATCAATATGGTTCTTAACTCTGAAGAAAGTGACACATTAACAATGATATTCAAAATATAATAAAAATAATAATTTAATCAACAAATAAATATATAAATCTTCAAATGCAAACCAACCTACTGAGATGCTTACTATCGTCCTCGTCATACAAAATCCCTTACCCATTCTGACATGAGTCACAACATTCTCCACTGGGACATTGTAGATCTTCTCCAAATAGTTCTTGATGTCAAACTTGGACATCTGCATCGAGACCTCAAACTGTACCACATTTTTAGGCTGAGGATCTCTCGGCTTGATAAGTTTCATGTAAAAGTTTGGCAGGAAAACTCTCAACTGTGGGTTCCCTCTGCGGTAAAGTGGATACCTGAAATAAGACAACAGTGGTAAAGGGTACACTCAGAGGATACTGTCACATATGACTCCCATATGAAACAGAAGCAAAACGCACAAAATTCAAGGAGCAATAATGATGAAAAATGTGCAAAAAAGTTAAACAAAGTGGTAATGCAAGGAAAGTTCCTACTCCACACAATCGGCCTAGCAGGTCCATTTCCCGTCCCCCTTTGAACTGGGCAAGGGAGAGTAAGCCAGAATATTAACCGGTCATTCATCAGGTTACGTGGTTAAGGGAGTGATTCGCCAGGTGATTTCCATTATAATAAGTACATCAACTACTATTTCTTTCATTTACCTAAACTTTGAAAGCATTTACTCTGTGATTGCAAATAAAATCCTTGAAAATTATTTTGCACACTGAAAAATGAGATTGAATATTTTTTTCTGATTGTTTTTTAATTGGAATTATATATAAACAATTAAAGTTATACATCAATGACCTTGCTTATGCAGATTTTGTCTTGACAAAGTGAAATTTGCAGTACAGGCAAAAAACAGTCAACAAATACACATTCATCTTAAAATCTGGCATATGGAATCATAACAATATAGATTTGCTTAATGGTTGCCCGAATAAATACTTCAACGCTAATTATAGGGAAAATAGGGGCAACAGCTTCAGCACACTCACCACTTTCCGGCTCTTGACTCTAAGCTCCTTCCCTTGCTTCTACCACTAACATCATACACTCAGCAACTTCTCTCTTTGACAAAGTGCCTTACTCTAGAGTGAAATGTACACTGCAATCTTGTAGAGCATACGAAATAAGAGTCATAAGCAACACAGATGCAACCGCTGTGGCCTCATATTTACCTAATATGACAGAAATATCCGCAACATATCACCAGAAGTCCACAACACCCTCACACAGTAAGAATTCTTAATGCTGTATTTTCTATAAGTCCATTTTCAATAATTCCTCCTCAACACACAGCTCTGAAGGTGTGTCACAAATATTCTCTCTAAAAAAAAATATTTTGGCAGTTGGCCTGAAGTGCTAATAAAGGAGCGAGGGGTAAAAGCAACACCCTGTCTAGGAAATGAACGGAAGGAAGGAAAGGTTAGGTTTGGGTCTTTGCTTTAGCGTGATACCCAAATCCGGTTTTGGGACTTAGTCTCTCGCGACCGTCGTTAACCAATACCAGCATTTTTTTTTTTTTTTTATTATTATTTTTTTTCAAATAGCCTTTGAAACAACCCAGACGACACCGATCAACAGCACGTAGATCCAAGATATATGTTAAAAAGACATACATCATCTGACACTAGCCTGCGCAGTGTTATTCATAATAGCGGCATTTACCCACAAAAGCTGAAACAGATTTCTGAATTTACTTCAGATTTATATAACAAATATTATGTCCAGATCTTGTTGAAACGGTTAAAATTATTATCTGCCTGGATATTACAAATAGACCACATCATTTCTTGTTTATTCCTTACTCTCAATCCAATCTAGATAATGAGCTACGTAATAGCTATTTCACATATGCAACAAAGATCTCCCTTTGCAATGAATTATTAATAATAAACTCACCACCGCGTCGACATGTTTGTGTGTTGTCGGCTGCCGCACGGTCTAGCATTCGTAAGTAAAAGTATTATTATTATTTTTTACCATGATTGTGCTTATATCTACTTAAGATTACATTTTATATTGAATTTATACTTTCCGGTTCCTTATGCATGCCTTTTTTGTTTCTTGTTCATCATTTATTTATTTTGACATTGTGCGAGGAGTGAAGTGTTATATCAAATATTATTTTTTTGCTTTTGCTTTAACCTACTTTAGAAAATATTTCCTCTATTATTAGTATTTTTTAGGTTTCCTGTTATTTTTATGACAAAGATTAATGAAAATAATGTTTTTTTTTAGTTGTGAATGCGTGTTGTTTACTTATTCGTCACAATTACAAATTTCATAATATTTTGTGTGTAAAGTTTATTCTGTGTACACGGTTCACAAATCATGAACTGATTCCTCATTCGTACATGGTGTTGCTTACTTAGTTTCCTTTATGAGGTGAACTGTACACGTCCTATGCTTGTAGTATAAGATATTGTCATAAAAATAAATATTCTGTGTGTAAAGGAAAACATTGATATATATAAGGAACACTTTCAGTTTCGTGGAGGTTAGTAACTTATGGAAGAACAATCAGTATGAATATGAATATTTTGTAAAGTAATTAAATTCATTAAAAAGAATAATAAAATAAAAAACTTTCTGTAGTGTGTATTTTTATCACATATTTGGGTTTCATTACATCTTTTGAACTTTTTCACTTATCTAGCATCTCAGTTATTTCTCTCTACTAAGACAATCGCGCCCTGTTAAGGATATATAACTAAGAATAAGATTGGATACCTACATTTACACAATGATGTGTAACTTCAATAATATGAGTAAATGTTGAGAAGACTTACGAGAGTTGCAGTCTGCCACTAGTGTTATTCCTTGCGGCACTTTAGGAAAGACCAACAAACCTACACCACATATATTCAAGCAAAACAGTGACAATCTGTCCTCTAATATGGGACAGTTTTTCAAATACTGAATACCTGAACAGCAAAACACACCAGTGACGTTAACAACAGGAAATATACAACAGAGTACCAAATTTTGAAAGCGCTGTCTGCCAGTGATCTTTGGTGTAAAGGGCGTAGATTAGAGACTGGTTGAGATTGTAGGCATTCCATTACAGATCGCAGCTGGGTGAAAATGTATTTGTACAAAAGAAAGCCAGTATAAATATGTGAGAAAATTCACAGTTGCCATCTGCACATTTAGCAATATATAATGGTTTTATTCCATTAGTAACTTTTTCAAAGTGGTACATTATGTTATAGTCAAATAGACTTTTCTTTGAAATTTCTACTAACCACATACCCATCTAAAAAATGGATCTTTCACCAGCAGCAAATTTTGGAAAATCAAACACAAACATGTGTGCAG